ATACAAAAATTATCCAAGCGTGGTGGCAGATGCCTGTAATCCTAGTTACTAGGGAGGTTGAGGTGGGGAATGGCTTGAACCCAAGAGGCTGAGGTTGCAGTGAACCAAGCTTGTGCCACTGGACTCCAGCCTGGGCAATAGAGTGAGACTCCATCTCAAAAAAAAAAAAAGAAAAAGAAAAAAAGAAAACCAAAGGCTGGGTGCAGTGGCTCACACCTGTAATCCTAGCACTTTGGGAGGCCAATGTGGGCAGATCACAGGGTCAAGAGATCGAGACCATCCTGGCCAACAGAGTGAAATCCTGTCTCCACTAAAATATAAAAGATTAGCTGGGTGCGGTGGCATGTGCCTGTAGTCCCTACTATTCTGGAGGCTGAGGCAGGGGAATCGCTTGAACTGGGAAGCAGATTTGGGATGAGCCAAGATTGCGCCACTGCACTCCAGCTTGGTGACAGAGCAAGACTCTGTCTCAAAAAAAAAAATTATTTTTTTTCTTTCTGATCATGTGACCTATTGACTCCCAATTTTTCCCCATTTGCCTTGGCTACTTGGGTGCTTAGAACAAAATGCTGTTGTTAGTTCCTAGAAACATATTTTCTTTTCCCTGGATCCTAATTTCTTTTATGTTTTAAAACTTTACTATAGATACCTCTGATATTCAAATATTTTAAGAATGTGGTGGGTTCCAGATAAAAATCTTTTCATGCTTTTTCTTTTTCTACATTAGATCAACAAGCATGTATTGAGCAAATGCTACGTTGTAAAAACCATAAAAGATGATGGGAAGAATGATTTACTTCCCCAATGCTTTGGTAGAAAGCTCCCTGGCACATTGACATAACAGGGAAGGGGATGGGAAGAACTTTATATTGTCTGTCAGATTAACGAAATGAGGACTTAAACTAAAAATTAAACTGATGTATAGAAAATACAGTTATATTTCTTAATTGCCCAAGCCTGTTGATCAAGATTTATCCTCACTATATATAGCCTCCAATAATGTTAGGGCTAGAAGAGTTGATAAAAGTCAGATTGCCCCATCCTATCGTTTTGTACTGATTCCCATTAAAATGTAAGCACTGCAAGGGCAAGAACCATTGTATTGTTCACTGGTATATCCAAAGTATTTAGAGCAATACTGGACATATAGTAGGTGCTCAGTAAATCACATCAGTTCCATCAAATTGAATCTGTTTTTGTCTAACATTTTAAATTCTTTATGTTGTTTCCTCAAACATCTTAAACATAGGTATTTTAAACTCTCTTTGGATCATTTTACTAAAGCCACTCCCTGGGTATCAATTATCACCTTTGTCCTACTTGCTGGCTTTTCCTCATGGTAGTTTATTTCCCTGTGTAGTTTCTAATTTTTTACTGTAAATTCATCCTCAGCAGGGGTTATTTTCTGTGAAAGTCTCTTGTACTCCTTGGAGTGTTCCTATGAAATGGTTTTCTTTTTCCCTTTGCCTGGGGACCTGTGGGTTCTATGGCCTAAGACCAGATTATATGTTAATTTTTCAGCCTTGAAGTCTCTGTGTAATGCAAACAGTGTGAAGTTCAAACTGACTTCCATGCAGGGCAAAGTCCTGGGTTTCAGATTTCTCTTCAGTGACTGTTTTTCTATTCATGGGAACAAGTTTCCTTACTGCTTCCTCAGATTGGTGGCCAGTGTTTCTAGGCTCTATGTCACAAGAGCCAGCCCTTTTTGAGTCCTGGCATAATATAGAGTCCTATACCCTCTTTCTCACTTAGGTGTTAATGTCATAAGCCCTCACTGTTAAGGCATATATTAACATCTGATTCCCCTGTCAGCCCTTTGACTTCAGTTCCCAGTTATGCTTCTAAATTATGCAACATTCCTAAAAGTTTCACTTCTTGACTTCCAGCTTATTTCTGTCTGAACATTTAAAAAATGACATTTTATACTGCTAAATGATATTTATTCCTGTGAGCTTGAAGTGGAAGGATTTCTTATATTGGCTTATTTGCCAAATTTACTTGGAGAGCAAATTAATTTAAATTAAATTAAATTAAGTAATTGATTAATTTTTTGAGACTGAATCTCACTTTTTTGCGCAGGTTGGAGTGCAGTGATATGAACATGGCTCACTACGGCCCCAACCTCCTGGGCTCAAGTGATCCCACCACCTCAGCCTCCCCAGTAGCTGGGACTACAGGCATGTGTCACCATGCCTAGCTAATTTGTATATTTTTTATACAGGCAGGATTTAGCCATGTTGTCCAGCCTGGTCTTCAACTCCCAGATTTAAGCAATCTGCCTGCCTCAGCCTCCCAAAGTGCTGAGATTACAGGTGTGAGCCACCGTGCCGGGCCAAAAAGCAAATTTATTAATGAGGAAACTAAGACCTAAAAAGATGAAATGCCTTGGAGGTGTGGACTACAGTGTTAGGAAGCTGAGAAATACATCTTGCTGTGAACTCTCAGATTCTGCTTTCTTCAAAAACTGGAATATCTAAATTTTTGTCTTGTCCTTGGATGGATGTGTATATATATATAAAACTTGGATATAATTTTTTTTTTTTTTTTGAGACAGAGTCTTGCTCTGTCACCCAGGCTGGAGAGCAGTGGCACGACTTTGGCTCCCTGCAACTTCCACCTCCCAGGTTCAAGCAATTCTCTGCCTCAGCCTCCTGAGTAGCTGGGATTACAGGCACTCGCCACCAAGCCTGGTTAATTTTTGTATTTTTAGTAGAGACAAGATTTCACCATCTTGGCCAGGCTGGTCTTGAACTTCTGACATCATGATTCAGCCACCTTGGACTGCCAAAGGGCTGGAATTATAGGTGTGAGCCACCGCACCCAGCTGGATATAATTTTATATCCAAAATATAATATATCATGCCATGAACTCTCAGATTCTGTTTTCTTCAAACATTGGAATATCTAAATGTTTGCCTTGTCCTTGGATGGATATATATATATATAAAACTCCCTTTTATTGGTTTTGTTTTCAGAATGTCATATGTCATAGTTACTATCTGATTTGAATTGAAGTGTGGGGGTGGTAGAAACACAGTGATGTCTTGGGAAGCTATTTTCTGATACTAATTGGGGCCCTGGATGAGTTAGAGGAGAATTTGGAATAAGCACCATGATAAGGAATTTGCGTGGTTGAAAAAGCCTCATAACATTAGAACCAACCTAATAGAAAGAAAGAATACACGCAGCCACATCCACCCATTCTGATCCAGAGATTTGAGAGGAAAGCCTAAAAGGTCACACCCGGGTTCTGGAGATGACCACTCTCCTGGTTAAGTGATACCAACAAGACAAAATTTAAGTTCTGTTGATATGGAGATGTGAAGTCCCAGCTGACTGGTGGAGGCAGGAAATTCCCGCCAACATGGCAGGTGAAGACTGACAGTACAAAGGCGCCTGCCCTGACAAACCTGGCTCAGGTTAGAACCATTGAAAACAAGATCAGGCCCCAAGACCTGGCTAGAGATCCTGGGCTTCACTGCAGATCTGGCTGGTCTTTAGTGGTGATCCCCTGCTCTGGTCTCTGGGTAAGTGGAATGTAATCCAAGAACAAGGTCAATCTCATTGTAAAAACAATCAGGGGAGCTCCCTATTGAATACTCTTCTCATGTGCTTTGGGAAGAATGGAGAAGAACCAACTCTTAGAATTGAGCTGGGCCTCATTTGAAGCATCTCTTTTTACCGGAACAAGCATGCAATTTGGAATCCATCAGGGCTTGGTCCTGACCCCAGGTTTTCCACCTGTGGTTCTGTATATTTGGGCTAATTGTTTCATCTTTTTGAACAGCAAGTATTTCATCTCAGGTGTTTCATCAGCAAGATGGAGATCATGCAGAGTTGTTTCTGTGAAAATTAAATTAAATTACCTGGCACCAATAGACTCAATAAATGGCACTTATTATTTGGATAAGTGTCTCATAAGAGGTGAGTGCCAGTACTGAACAGAGTTAAAAATGCCACGGCCTCAAGAGATTATTTTTGGCCCTCAATCTAAATTAGTTTTTCCTCTTCTATTCTCTAATAAAGCTCTTTTCATTTTTCTTTTTTTTTTTTGACATGGAGTCTTGCTTTGTCACCAGGCTGTAGTGGCAAAATCCAAGCTCACTGTAATCTCCCCGCTCCAGGTTCAAGTGATTCTCCTGCCTCAGCTTCCCGAGTAGCTGGGACTACAGGCACGCGCCACCACGTCCAGCTAATTTTTGTATTTTTAGTAGAGACGGGGTTTCACCATGTTGGCAGGATGGTCTCGATCTCTTGACCTCAAGTGATCTGCCTTCCTCGGCCTCCCAAAGTGTTGGGATTACCGGCGTGAGCCACCGCACCTAGCCAGCTCTTTTCTTTTATAACGTCCATCACTATTGGTACCTGTGCAGTTTTTATTTCCGTGACTGATTCACACAGCAGCTATAAACTCAGTGCTGAGTGAGGAAGGAAGGTTTCATGAGCCCTGGTGAGAACTCCATGTCTCTGACCAGGGCAGTCCCCACTTGGGTTTGCCAGTTGTTCTTTTGAGGGAGTAAGGGGCTCGGTGCTACCAGATTTTCCCATTTTTTTTCATATAACCCAGAACTCTGACTTTTTATGTGAGATGTTCTGGTTTTAAAATGTTGGGAAGTAATTCAAAAGATATTGCGTGGGCCAAACCAAAGTCATGTGTGGGCTGCAATAGACCTGAAAGCTGCCAATCGACGGTCTCTGGTTTATACCTGCCTTCACGACCAGGTAGTGTTGGGTTCACTATTGTTTGTTCAATGCCTGGTACAGTGGGGGCCTACATAGTAGGCACTGAATATTTTATTGAAAGAAAAAATAAAAGACTGAAATTGTCCCAGGATTCAATTCCTGGTCCTTGGCCCAGGAGAAAAAAAAAAAAAAAGAAAGAAAAGAAAAGAAAAAAGAACAGTATTGAAAATTGCTGAAATTAAAAATAGTCTAGACTGGGCATGGTGGCTCATTCCTATAATCCCAGCACTTTGAGAGGCCAAGGTGAGCAGATCACTTGAGGTCAGGAGTTGGAGACCAGCCTGGCCAACATGATGAAACCCTGTCTCTACTAAACATACAAAACTTTAGCCAGGTGGTGTTGGTTCACGCTTGTAAGACCAGCTACTCAGGAGGCTGAGGTACGAGAATCACTTGAACCTGGGAGGTAGATGTTGCAGTGAGCCGAGATTTGCGCCGCTGCACTCAAGCCTGGACGACAGAGGGAGACCCTGTCTCAAAAAAAAAAAAAAAAAAAAAAAAGTCTAGGTAGTTTGATTGAAACAGAGCCTTGTTCTGTCACCCAGGCTGGAGTGGAGTGATAGGATCACCACTCACTGCAGCTTCAATCTCTCAGGCTCAAGCAATCCTCCTACCTCAAACTCCTAAGAAGCTGGGGCTATAGGCATGTGCCACCACACCTGGCTAATTTTTTTAGTTTCTGTAGAGATGGGGTCTCACTGTCTTGCCCAGGGTGATACTGAGAAGTTCTAAGTTAATATAAACCAAGAAAGAAAAGCCATTCACTGCTTCTCTGTATCATTTTTATGGAAAAAATAGGACTATTATTTTTGTTGATTTTATTACCAAAGACTGAAAGAATGATAATGTTTACCACAGAAGCAAAATTTCCCAGTTGTTAAGTATTGTATTGAACAGACTGTTGGTTGCATATTGTCAAACCAGTTTTAGTTTGCTGCAAAGTAGAATTTAATCTCTGACCTCAAGTTTTATTGTGCAATGAGCTTGCCAAATACATTGAATTGCAGATTTCCATGGTAGTATGATTTGTGTACTGGCTTGAACTCTGAAAGTCATTGCAGCTGTCATTTGGTGAAAAATAGGGAAAAAGAGGCTTTGGGGAGCTTAGGTTTCTAGAGCTGATGGAAGGGAGAAAACCTCAAATGTTAGATTATTTAGAGACTGTCTAAATTGAAGTGGCTATCTTTGACATATTTGTAAGTGTAAGGATTCCTAGAGATTGGCCTTCAGGGAAACAAAACGTGCATCAGTAACTAAAGTGGTCTGCCGATAAGATTACTGAATCGCAAAAATGAAGACCAACAAATGTTCCTAATAGACACTTAGTATTCACCCTGTACAACGTTTGGTACTTTGGCTCCAAAAAGTAAGTATTGAAAGTAATGGTGGAGGAGGCCATCTCTGTACTCCAGGAATTTACAGTCTGGTTTGGGAGCCAATAATTGGGAAAAAGTAAAAGACTCTATGATTAAGAGCTAAGCCATGTGTTAGAGACTGTAAGCGTTAACAGGAAATCAGAGGGTAAAAAAATCACAGCAGGCTTCACAGATCAGTTAAGAACTCAGAGCTTCAAACAGGTATTGTTACGATTTGGAGAGGGAAAGAATATACATTGCTATCTTGGTCCCTTCTGCTTCTGGGGCTTTTTGGGTTTTTTTCTTTTTTTTTTTTTTCCAACTTACCCCAAGCCTCCGCGTCCACACGACTTGGCAGTGGCAGGGAAAGAGCTCTTGGGCTTTTTTAAAAAATAGGAAAAAGGAAAAGTTGTTTCTTTTTCTACTGTCAATTTACATATTGTATTAGTTAGTTCTTGCATAGCTACAAAGAAACACCTGAGACTGGGTAATTTATAAAGAAAAGAGGATTAATTGGCTCACAAACCTGCAGGCTGTACAGGAAGCAGAGCAGCATCTACTTGGCTTGGGGAGGGCTCAGGAAACTTACAATCATGGTGGAAGTTGAAGGAGAAGTGGGCACATCTCGTGGCCGGAACAGGAGGAAGAGAGAGGGGGAGGTGCTGCACCCTTTTAAACAATCAGATCTCAGGAGAACTCACTTACAATCACAGGAATAGCACCCAGGGGGTGGAGCTAACCCATTAATGAGAGCTGTGCCTCTATGATCCAGTGATCTCCCACCAAGGCCCACCTCCAATACTGGGGATTACAATTCCACATGAAATTTGGGAAAGGACACAGATTTAAACCATATAACATATAGAAAAATACAGGTATATTTTTACAGAGATGGAGTCTTGCTGTGTTTCCCAGGCTGGTCTTGAACTCTTGGCCTCCAACAATTCTCTTAGCTTCCCAAAGTACTGGGATTACAGGTGTAAGCCACCACACCTGGCCTGTATATACAGGGGATTTACTGTGAAGGGGCTAAATATATATGTAAAAACCTATGTAAAAAATAATATGTATATATATACATTTTTGAAACAGAGTCTCACTTTGTCACTCAAGCTGGAGTGCAATGGTGTGATCTCAGCTCACTGCAATCTCCACCATCTAAGTTCAAGCCTCCCAAGTAGCTGGGATTACAGATGAGTACCACCATCTGTAAAATTAGCCCAGCTAATTTTTGTATTTTTAGTAGACATGGAATTTTGCAATGTTGGCAAGGCTGGTCTGGAACTCCTGACCTTGTGTGATCTGCCTGCTTCAGCCTCCCTGATCTGCCTGCTTCAGCCTCCCAAAGTGCTAAGATTCTAGGTGTGAGCCACCATGCCCAGCAGATTTTTTTTTTTTTTTTTTTTTTTTTGGATACAGGGCCTTGCTCTGTCACTGCAGCCTTGAACTTCTGGGCTCAAGGGATTCTCTTCTAGCCTCAATGTCCCAAGTAGCTGGAGCTACAGATGTCTGCAATCATGCCAAGCTAATTTTTAAACTTTTGGTAGACAGGGTCCCACTATGTTGCCCAGGCTGGCCTTGAACACCTGGCCTCAAGTGATCCTCCCACCTCAGCCTCCCAAAGTGTTGGGATTACAGGCATGAGCCACCATGCCTCACCGGGAAATGTTATTAAAAAAAAGAAATTAACAGTAATTATTCTGAGTAGGATTTTAGATAATTTAGGTTTTTCTTTGTAATTTCTCATTTTGTGACATTGATCATTTATTTGCATAATTAACAAAAAAATGTTAAATATCCTTCTGTTTCAAAAACCAGCAAGGGCATCTTATTGCTTACACCAGTAATTAGAAAGATTAAAAACCCTGGTTGCAATGAGAACACACGGACACAGGGAGGGGAACAACACACACTGGAGCCCATGGGGTGGGAGGTCGGTGAAGGGAGAACATCAGGCAAAATAGCTAATGCATGCTGGGCTTAATACCTAGGTGATGGGCTGATAGGTGTAGCAAACCACCATGGCATAGGTTTACTTATGCAACAAACCTGCACATCCTGCACATGTACCCAGGAACTTATAAAACAAAAACAAAAACATGAGAAACCCTGGTTGCATATTTAATCATCTGGATTACTAGAACAAGACCAAACAAAATATACCATTATGTGCTCAGGTCCTACTTCAGATCAATTAAATGAGAATCTCTGAGGGCTAGGGCCCTGGTTTTGGCTCTTTTGAAAAGCTTTCAGGTAGTTATTTTATTTTGAGACAGTGTCTCAATCTGTTGCCCAGGCTGGAGCACAGTGGCATGATCTTGGTTCACTGCAACCTCAATCTCCTAGGCTCAATCAATCCTCCCGCCTTAGCCTCCTGAGTAACCAGGACTACAGGTGCATGCCACCATGCCTGGCTAATTTTAAAATTTTATTTATTTATTTTTGTAGAGACAGGGTTTCACCATGCTGTCTAGGCTGGTCTTGAACTCCCAAACTGAAGTGATCTGCCTGCCTTGGGGCTTCCAAAGTGCTGAGATTAAAGGCGTGAGCCACCATGCCTGGCCTAAATTTTATTTTTAAAAATTTTTGTAGAGATGGGGTTTTTCTTTCTTTCTTTCTTTCTTTTTTTTTCTTTTTTTTTAAAAAAAAAAAAAAGATGGGGTTTCACCGTGATGGCCAGGCTGGTCTTGAACTCCTGACCTCAGGTGATTCACCCACCTTGGCCTCCCAAAGTGCTGGGATTACAGGCGTGAGCTACCACACCCGGCCAGAAATGGGGTTTTGTCACGTTGCCCAGGCTGGTCTTGAACTGCTGGGTTCAAGCTATCTGCCGGCCTCAGACTCCCAAAGTGTTGGGATTACAGATGTGAGCCACTGCACCCAGCCTAACTTTCAGATCATTTTAATGTGTATCCTGGAAATATATTAAAACTGAAAAATCTCACATTCCCTTCAGATATGCTGCAACAGAAACTGTAGGACTGGGACTTAGCAAACTTTTTTTTTTTTTTTTTTTTTTTTTTGAGGTTTCAATATTTTATTCAAGTTTCTTTTAAGCGATGTTAATTACAGCATTTGAAGGGGAAGATCTAATTCCACACAAAATGGAAGACTCTAAAATGTACCCATTAAACTGCTAAAAAAACAAATTGAGTGGTGAGAATACAACAGAAGTCCAATTTAGATTCTGAGTGTTGTCACCATGTGATCACAATCACACAGACTCTTCTGAGCTTATAGCTGGAGCTCCTGGAAGCTATTTCATACTCTGGTGCAAGGGCAAAAAAATACAACACAAGAAGGAATAAGTCCTGAATTATTGGCTTCATCACATCCACCCTCTCCACCCTAAAATGGCACAAAAGAAACAGTGACCACACCCTGCAGACCTTTTGGTGCAAAAGAGGTGAACTGGGGTGGGAACAGGTCATGAAGATCTGTCTTAAAAAGTCCCATTCAGGTGAGTTTGTATACACCATCAAGCAGCGAGCCTCTCATCAACTGGGGTTGGGAAACCAAGGTCCGATTCTCAGGAAATCACAATTTCATTCATTTACTCAATATGAATCTACAAAGTGCCTACATATTATCAGCTTCCACTTGCAGCCATTTCTAGATAAAAAAGAAACCTGGCATCTCAAAGGGGCCCCCAAGTTCCCCCCAAGTCTACCACTGAAAGGACCTTTTTCGGAAATGGGTTTCTTCTGTACCTCTGAAAGGGTAACATCTTAAAGCTGAATCATCTTTAACCTGGAGGTCTAACATATTTAGCAATACTTGCATCCCAGACATACAACATTAAAAGATACACTAAATTCTGAAGGTAGCTATGCTGCAAAATAGTTTAAAATTCAACAATTGTACAGTATTCCTGACGCCTGCTTCTCGGCTAAAGTGAACAACTCCAGACTGATAGGTTTAGGATACACTCAGACTCTAAAGCCAGGTATCAAACTGACACTGTCAGCTCTTCTGGATGGCAAGAACG